TTCTCCCAAAACAGCTTATACTACTGTTTCAGCTATTAAAATAGTTCAGTTTTGTATGTAATAGCAAAGTGATTATATTTTGTTTCGTTTTTTTATGAAGTTAATTTTAAAAAACGTTTGGAGCATTTTTTGTTCGTTAAATATACGTTTTTGTTTTTTTTAAAGTAACGACCAAGCGGCCAGCGGCAGACAGTGAGCCTATGTTTGATCAATTTAGCCCAGTGATGGGCAAACTTGGCCCTTCCAGGCCACTTTCCTGCAGAGATTTGATCCAACCCTGACAAAACTCACCTGCCTGTAGCCTTCTAGTAGTCTTGAAGACAATGATTAGCTGGTTCAGGTGTGTTTGATTAGGGTTGGAGCTAAACTCTGAAGGAAAGTGGCCTGGAAGGGCCTGCCCACCCCTGATTTAACCTTCTCAAATCATCACAACTTGCCTAAAATAAAATCTATATATATAAAACAGATCAAGCATATAACAATGTTTAAATGTTAAACCTAGATAAATGTGCACTATATCCAATAGTTTGTGCGGAGAGTGGAAGCTGAAGCGCGCTTTGCAGGACATGGAGGCGCCAACGCGATCACTTGCATTTTTTTCAGTGGATACGCCATCATTTTTGCTCATAAAGGTAAGAGTAATACATCATTCGTAACTGTAAAGGGTCTACTTTTATTTGTGTGCACTCACAATATCAACAAAACGTTGTGCTTTTATAAAATAAAGAAAACAAACATGAGGCGCTTTCTGCCGTCTCGTCTTGAACAGGCACGCTTCACAATAATTAACCAAAACTCAGCGAATACATGTCTCACAGACATGATAAATATATCTATAGAAAGCTTTAAATTACTACTAAACTAAATAAAACAAATAAAAAAAAAAGAAAAAAAAAAGATGCACTTCTCTCTAAAGGTGCGTCTAATGAGGAGATGGCAAGTCAGGATCAGCAACTTCATCCTTGCGACACCGACTCAGAAAACACTAGTTTATTAGTAAATAACTCAAATATCTCCTTACTATTTCCCCCTGTCACATTTATGGTAATTACTTTTGCCGGTGCTTTGCGGCACGCTTAAGCCTATTGCTTGCATTTGAACGCATAACTGTTCAGCTGCGCTGACGGCACTTACCATACATACTGCTGCTGCGGGACACTAAACACCGTCGAGCCGCTCTTGACAGTCGCGGTAGCACGGTCTCGTGTTGTTTCCACCAGCGAGGCAATTTTTCTCATCACTAATTGATGGATGTCTAAAATATAAAAAATAAGGAGAAGCCTAAAACAGGCCAGAGGCCCGGCCCGTGTTTAAACTATGATGTGAAAATTGGCCCGAAGCCCGGCCCGAGGGGCGTAAAAAAGTCGGGGCCCGTCGGGCTGGGCTGAAATGCAGGGCTCTAGCTCTGATCTAGCACACAGAAAACGATTTGACTGAAAATTTATCAGAAGAGATGAAAGAAAGATAGTGG